AAAAAAAGAGAGAGAGAGATAAAAGTTAAAAACAAACATCTTGAGTAAAATCTATGACATAAGAAAACTGAGAAAAATCTTGCAACAAATGTCTAGGGTTGAATCTATAACAAGAAAACTAAGAAAAAAATGCAGCTACAAAAATTATAAAAATATATTCTTTAGTGGAAATTAGAAAGTAACATTATTCAGTTACCTCCAACTTGAAGTTTAAGAAATTTGCAGGTCAAAATCTATTGTGGTTTTTTTTTCTTTAAATTATTTTTTTCACTCTTTGAGTCTCTGATTTAGCAGTCTGTAGCCAAGCCTGGGGATGTGTTTTCACAGCTGATTAGGTAACAGAGCAGGAAAAAAATGCTTTATATCATTATATGAATAGATTTTCAACTGAATCACTTCTTTACTTCTTCCAAGTTCCCCTGTGCACTAACCAATTATAAATAAATGGCTGTATTTTGCACATATAAATATATGCTTTTATTTTGGAGAATTTAACACTATCCATAACAGAAATACAGGTAAGAAACATTAGTCTTGAGGAACTTCAGGATTCCAATAGTTTCTTTCATAAGTATTTTCTGTCTTTTGTAAATGAAAGGCAAAAATTTCAATTACCTAGTGTCACCATCTGAAAAATACAGGATCGGTTCTTTCTGAACTAGTTTTCTCTGTGCACTTTGTTACTTAGGCCAAAGGCAGTTAGTCTTTTATGGATATTGTAGAAATGACTCAGTGCAATAATTCAAATATTTTAAAATCTCATTTAAAAAATTTTATATATATATATATGATCATATGATTTTTATCCTTTATTTTGTTAATTTGATGTTTCTCATTGATTGATTTATATATGTTGAGCCACCCTTGTGTCCATAAAATGAACCCCACTTGATCGTGATGTATTATTTTTTAATGCATTGTATTCAATTTGCTAGTATTTTGTTAACAATTTTTGCATCTATTCATCGAAGATATTTCTGCAATTTTTTTTGTGTGTGTATTGCCCTTGCTAAGTTTTAGTGTCAGGGTAATATTGACCACAATAGATGCAGAAAAAGCATTTGACAAGATATAACATCAATTTATAATTAAAACAAATGAATAGGTACAGAAAGAAAGTACCTCAACATAATAAAAGCCACATATGACAGCTAATATAATACTCAATGGTGAAAAACTGAAAACTTTTCCTTTAAGATCAGGAACAAGACAAGCATGCTCACTCTGACCATTGTTATTCAACATAGTACTGAAAGTCCTAGCCAGAGCAGTCATGCAGGATAAAGAAATAAAAGGCATACAAATTGGGAATGAAGAAGTAAAACTATCACTTTTGCAGATGGCATTATTCTTTATAGAGAAAACATTGAAGACTCCACCAAAAAAAAAAAAAAAAACCTATTAGAAATAAACAAACAAAAAAATACAGTAAAGTTTCAGGATACAAAACCTATGTACAAAAATCCATTGCCTTCCTATATAATAACAATGAAATTTCAGAAAAAGAAATTAAAAGAAAAATTTAATTTGCAATTGCAACAAAAAGAATAAAATGCCTAGTAATAAACTCAACAAATGATGTGAAGGACCTATATATGTTGAAAACTATAAGACCTTATTAAAAGAAATTGAAGAAGTCACAAAGAAATGGAAAGACATTCTGTGCTTATGGATTATTAGAAGAATCAATATAGTTAAAATAGTCATATTACCTAAAGCAATATGCAGATTCAATGCAATCCCCATCAAAATCAAATGGCAGTTTTCAAAGAAATAGAACAAATAATCATCAGATTGGTAGGGAACCACAAATGACCCTGAATAGTTAAAGAAATCCTGAGCAAAAAGAAAAAGCTGGAGGTATCATACTTTCTGACTTCAAATTCTACTATAAAGCTACAATAATAAAAACAATATGGTATTGGCAGAAAAATAGACACACAGATGAATGGGACAAAATTTACTGCCTAGAAATAAACCTACATATACACAGTGAAATAATTTTCAACAAAGAGCCAAAAACATACAATGAAAAAAAGAAAATCTCTTCAATAAATGATGCAAGAGAAAATTGGAAAGTCACATGCAAAATAACAAACTAGACCGCTCTTTGACAACATACACAAAAATAAACTCAAAATGAATTAAATACCTTAATATAACCTGAAACAATAAAATATACAGACGAACACATAGATACTAAATTTATGGACCTTTGTTTCAGAGAGGATTTTATGAATTTGACCTAAAGGCAAGAGAAGAAAAGCAAAAATAAATAAATGGGGCTACATCAAACTAAAAAGATTCTGCAGAGCAAATGAAACCATCAACAAAACAAAAAAAAATAAGCAACCAAATGGGAGGAGATATTTGTAAACATAATCTCTGATAAGGGGCTAATATCCAAAATATGTAAAGAACTAATACAACTTTACCACAAAAAGACAAACACTCCAATTTAAAAATGGGCAGAAGACCTGAACAGACACTTCTCCCTAGAGGACATACAAATGGCCAACAGATATATGAAAAGCTCAGCTTCACTAGCTATAAGGGAAATACAAATCAAAACCACAAAGAGATACCACCTCACATCTGTTAGAATGGCTATTTTCAACAAAACAAAAAATAACAAGTGTTAGAGAGGATGTGGAGACAAAGGAACTCTCGTACATTGCTGGTGGGAATATAAATTGGTGTAGCCATTATGGAAAAGTGTGGAGGTTCCTCAAAAAAATTAAGAATAGAGCTACCACATAACCCAGCAATCCCTCTTCTGCCTATCTACGTGAAAAACTGAAAACATTTATTTATAAAGATATATGTATCCCTATGTTCATTGTAGCATATATTATATGGAAACAATCTAAGTGTCCTTTGATAGATGATTGAATAAAGAAGAGGCACATACATATACACGTACATATATAGTATTCCATTATGTATATGTGTGTGTATATATACAATGGAATACTATTCAGCCATAAAAAAAAGATGAAATTCTGCCATTTGTGACAACATGGATGGATTTTGAGAGTATCATGCTAAGCGAAATAAGTCAGATGGAAAAGGACAAGAACTATATGATTTCATTCATATGTCGGATATAAAACAGAAAACAACAAATAATGAACAAAGAAAACAAGCAAACATATAGACACAAACAGTGTAGTGGTCACCAAAGGGGAAGGGGAGTGGGGGGAGGTTAAGAGGTTACAGGGAGGTCAAATATGTGTGACAGAAGGAGACTAGACTTTGGGTGGTGAGCACGTAATGAAATGTATAGATGATGTACTATAGAATTGTACACTTGAAACTTATATAATCTCATTAATGAATGTCACCCCAATAAAAATACATATGTATAATAATTTTAAGTGATATACTTAACAAATATATTTTGTTTATATAATTTTTATTACCCAAAGAGTGGTTTAGTTTTCACCAGCATCAGCATCCCCTGAGAGCTTATTAAAAATGCAAAACTTTAAGCCTTTTGAATCAGAATCTGCATTTTAACAATGTCCCTAGGTGATTCATAAGCATATTAACATTTAAAAAGCTCTACTACTGAGTGTGTTGGAAGAAAACTGTTTCCTCATCACTGAACTAGTCCAAGGAGAATCTTACTTGTATCTTCTCTCTTAATCTAGTGTTGAATTTAGAATACCTTCAGCCAGAATACTTTATCACTATGTTCTCTGAAATGTGTTATTCAGAATTCTCATGAAGAGATAAGCTCTTTCATTTCCTTAGTCTTTGGATACTTATTATAGGCCAGACACTTCATCCTCATAAAAATGTTATTTTTCAATTATGAAAATGTGTCCAAGTTGACAAAGCTATAAAGTGACCGAGTAATCATGTGGACCCAGCAGTGTGGCTCCTGAATTGGTACTCTTAACCATCATACGACATCTGTTCAGTCACAGCCATACTCAAGTCTGTAGTACCAGAGCAAAGCCCAAGGGAAGAAGCTATTTGATTGGAAATATTCAGATTACCAAGGCATTGTGGTGGTGGTTCAATAGATGGAGGTACTTAACTGTTTGTTCCTAAGTCACAGATGAAAATCATTTCAGATATTTAAGTGAAATATTTCACGTACTTGTCTACAGTCACATTTACCTATCACACAACATTATACTGAATCTATATTAATGTATTCAATATGCTGATAGATCCTATCTTATGAGAACTATGAATTGAAAAACATTGTTCTTTTTATACAATAACCTAGCAAGAGCCATGATAATTTACAGATGACTGAGCTTCAGAGCCAGACAGAACAATAGAGGAGAAAATGAACTGTTTATATAGATGTAAACTGAAATCACACGGTTCCAGTCACTTTTCCTATTGATGAATAGCTAAGAAGCCATGCACTGTGTGTATTACCTTAGGTGAAGGAAATCTGGAGTAATTGGAAAAATTGTGGGATTTTTTTTTCCTTTTCTCTGACTTCTCTCCCATTATCATTTTTTATGTAAGATGCCCTGAAAATTGACAATAACATTTCAATTTAACATAATAATGTAATATTTATTACAGTGGAGCATGTATATAAGGATTTTGTATATAAGGACTTTTTTCCTATCCAAAGTAGATTGCAGACTAAGGACTAAATATAAAATATCGATTTCCATCCTTTAAATGTTATATCCTTAATGTCTCCTCTAACTCTAGATGAAAATCCTGTTATATAGGTTAGTAGACAGTAAAAACTCGAGCCTTATCTATAAAAGAACAGAAGTGTCTCATATGTCTCATACACTGATATGTCTACAGTTCAAGAAGACTTAAAAGGTTGTACTGATAGAACTGGAAGAAGACTATGTGTGTCTACTAAATATATTATTAAGTTAAAATTTGTTTTTACAGTGAGGAGAAGAGATCGTGATGAGAATAAGGAGTATTATAAAATATGATTTGAGATGTTTATTGAGACCAAATTTATGGCTCCTATTATAACAAGTAATTATTGTGATTTTGCTTTCCAGTATGTATGTACAGAGAGCCATCACTACATGAAATTGGAGAAAAACAAGGGCGTTCGAGGAAAAGCTCTGGAACACCAACCATGAATGGAGGCAAAGTCGTGAATCAAGATTCAACATAGCTGAGAACCCTTCCCTTCGTCTTTCTCTCATCCCTTCCCTCCATCCCGCCCCCCCACCCCATTTCCTTCCAATAAATCTACCCAAGAAGAGAAAAATAAAATGGCAACACAGGACCTAGTGGCTATGATTCTGCACTCAAAATCTTTCTTTGTGTAGGACAAGACAATTGAACCAAAGCTTGCCTGTTGCAATGTGGTAGAAAACTCAGATGCACAAAGATTAGCACACATATAAGCAATGGGAAAAATAAATGAAGACTCCACACACATTAAAGTAAACTGTGCTGTTATTAATAGAAGGCTAATTGTAATAAAGACATAACTAATAAAGATGATATAAGGTTATTACCTTAAAAAGGTTTTGGAGAAAAGAACTTACAAATTGATGTAATACCCTTAATATCTTGAAGTCTGGATAATGCTGTGATGTGTGCTTTGTTTTGATTTTGCATTTTCTTTGGGCATTTGGAATTGACACATAATTACATCCTGTTTCCTGGATTTTTTTTAACCATGATATTGAACATGTATGAATTATAGGTTGTTCTAATGCTGCTAAGGTATGTAGCCAGGAATCACTTAACATCAAGAAAAGTTTAAAAATTGATTCTTAAAGTTTTTATTAAGATTTTTTTAGTTGAGAAATAGTCTTGTGTTGAATCTAATGGTATTAGCTGATTTCATTCCTTCATAGAATTTCAGATTCTCCTAAAAGCATATCATATTTTTATCAAAGGTATTAATCTAGAATCTTATTTTTAGTAATTTAGAAAAAAAATCTTTTTTCTAAGGCTGAAGTAACTTTTGGGAATTATTTGTTAATAGCATGCTCTGGCAGTGATGTACAAGTACATGCTCTTGCTATTTGGTCTGACTTCTAATTTATGGACACCTTTGAGGGTATAGGTAGGTATATATCTAGCTGTCTTAGAGAGTTTTGTACCATCTCTTGCAGCAGGAAAGAAGGAAGAGAGTTTTACGTAAGTAAGTACATCCTGGGAAATTTGTCAAAGCAAATTGCATTTACCTTTATAATTTACAAGGGTTTTATGTATACAGCATTTTCCAAACTCTGCCATGATATTAGGAGGCATAGCTGTGAAATTCCTAACCTACTGTCTTATAAAGCAGGTGGCTCGTTTGTTGCTATCTATCCTCATTTGTAAGTCTATGTGGCAATAAGTGTGTCTCCTAGAACACAGAGGAGTCCTTGTAATAGACTGAATTTTCCAGTGGCATAGAGAAACAATATGGAATTAACAGCTATAGTTCCAACAGACGGGGTTGTATGAGCAGCTTAAAATAGTCAAAAAAAAACCAAAAAGCAAAAAACAATGTAAGACTAGGCAAATGCACAGTTAGAAATACTAAAATATTAGGAAAATATTAGGGAAGAAATGAACATTACACAATTGTCTTGGAAAAAAATATATCTACTTAGTCCTACAAATCAGGAATGGTATAGAGACATCCAAATTAAAACAACAAAAAAAGAATGTTAAAAAATGTATGCAGATTTATGGATATTATCAATGAGATGACTTAGCATGTTACTTCTCCTATAACTCTACTGTCCAGCATGTATTGTTCCAAATATGACTCCCTAAAATATATACACTTTGCAGAAGCTCTAGGTCCTTACTTCAATGACCTCGTCATTGGTTACTATATTCTTTCAAGGTCACTGTAGTTTCTCTCACTCTACACAATCATTATTCTCCAATAGTGGTTTGTGTACTTCACCAAGTATTCTATTTATGTTATCAGGACGTTAACAGAAAATGAAATGGAAGAATTTGCCTAATCAGTTGCAAAAAAGAAAAGTTATGTTCTTAGGTAAGGATTTTGAACACACATTTGCAAGAAATATTTGTTTAACTAAAATATTTGGAAAGTAACAAAATAAAGACATTTAAATTTTAAGAAAAGAAATATTGCTCTTCTAGGAAAAGAATACCCTTATAAAACCCAGAAATCTGGTTGTAGTTCTTGTCACTCTTGATTCAACTTGATTATAAACGCACCTGTCACTTTCCGGACCAAACAAATCCCAAGCACAAAGCCTTATTTTCTTTGAAGCAGTAAAAATAGGCTTCTATAAAATGGGTCACAGGCTCATTTAGCGTGAAATGACTTGAGCTTTTGTGGTGATACATACACACGCATGTACATGCTCACCATAAACTCACCAGTAACAGAATAAACAGTTTCACAAAATGTTATAAATTACACTGATGATTTCATGACAGAATATATTTAGTCCAGTTAAATATTATGAAAACTATGATAGAGATATGAATCTCCCAACAAAATTCTCTGTTTTCTGTGGCTGTTCGTCATTTATCATCTAGACTCACATTTGTCTCCTTCCTGATAGCAGTTGAGAAGCAGAGCTCTAATTACCCAATTTGTATATTTTTTTATCTGTCTCATTTAAGCAAATGTTTACCACAGTAAAAAGTTTTGGAAATTAGGTTTATCTGATTTACAATTAATTTCAGAGACTGTGTTGGAAACCTCATATTACTTTTACACATTAACCTGACAAAAATATGGTTTGGTGCACAAGGTGAACATTTTCTTAAGTGCTGCTTACTTTGTAAGCTTGTAAAACCTTTAATAGAAAATGCCAGTATTCACTGTCTAGGTTTTTAAAAAATTACCAAATGTAAACATATAATTATCTGATTTCCTTCAAAAATATAAGCCATTTTAAAAAGTTTTTTTTTTTTTCAGATTTATTCCAAGTAAAAGAATTTTTTACTTTGATTTTCATTATTCCAATTTCTGGATCTCAATATATTATCCATCACTTATTCTCCTGTAAGTGAAGTAAACTTTTATTATTATTATTATTATTATTATTATTATTATTAATTCATTTGGATATTCTCAGGAGAAATATGACTTTTAGCAAAGCTTCATAGTTGTCTATGTACATGTAAGTTAAGATGTGTTTAGTGTAAGAGTTCTTATGGTAAAATCTTTCAAAATTACTAGACTTAAGAATGAGAGCAAAACTTTTGAGAATCTCACAAAATAGTTTTCTGGTCAATATACCTAATTTGATTTTTAAGCTGAGACTTTGAAGTATCGAAACAAAAGAGTGCCGAAGTTCCATTTGCTAATTCAGAGAATCTATGCTTCAGGAAACTGGAGGACACCAAGCCAACCTATTATTAATCATAGTAATAGTTTGGATTTTGAATTTTACGTATGAATTTCATAGTACATTTTTAGTCACTACGAGTTGACTCAATAAAGAGACATCAATTTGATGCACATTGTGGCTTTATAGACCTCATTGTAATCCAGATAGTTTTTTAGAAGAATTCTTCCATTTAAGAAAATGATAATGCTGATAATGATAGGTATTATATATAGATTGGTGGTCCCGTGGTACCACTAGCAAGAGATGAGAGTATTGAGACAAAAGTAAAGGATCAGGAATGGCTATAGTGTATAGTGTATTGAAAAGCTTGATGGTCCTAATTTGAGACCACCGATTTCTTGGTGAAGAAGCGTGACTGTAACAGTAAATTTTTTTTAAACACAGACCCAGAAATAGCAAATCTATTCCACTCTCATGGCTTAATCTACAAGGCCTTGTCTGAGAACGGTTTCCATGACGTTGCTTAATTTCATCTGCACAAGATGAAACACATTCAAACATAAAAATGCCCTGCTCATTTTAATATCATAAAAGGCTGAGATTGTTTCTCTGTCATAAAATTGTAAATAGCATTTTTTAAATCAGAATCACATTTAAAACAGTGGATTGTTCTACAGATATATATGTGTATATATACATATGCTTCTGAAATAAGGTTATATTATACAGAGTTTTTATTTGATTTGTGTTATTTAGTCATAGTTAATCAAAAAAAGATTTGAATGCAAAACTTTATATATAAATGTATATTTCTAATGATAGTATAAATTGCCACTTTATAATAAAAAGGAAACAAGTGGGAACAATAATCAAAGCACATGCTCCTTTAGAACTTCAGTGATTCTGAATCCCCTCTATTTGATGCAGACGCAACTATATTTTATTTTTAAAAGCTTAAAAAGCTATAGTTCCTGATAAAAATTCTGTGATAAGTCATATCAAATTGAAAATTTATGGTTGAAGGCAGGAAAAAGATGCTAAATGCTGATCTTTATTATTCAGGATTTTTCCTGGAGCCCGTTAAAAATTCAATATTTAAAATATAAATAAGTGAAAATCAGTACTATTCCAAGATGATATATTGAGTTTTAGTAACAAACAGAAGCAAAAATATATTTAACATTATTAACATTAAAATAATGTCATAAAAACTACATCATTAGATGTTTTATTAGTTGGAAAGAATGAGTTGATGCTTCTTTGTCTTTGCGCCAAGCACAACCTAAAAAAACAGTGGCATTCATTTCGCTAAAGTAGGTCTAAAGTCCAAAATATACTCCCATGAATAGAATTGGTACTAGCTCCATTACAAGGTTAAATGTTACAATCTTAAGAAATTATTGACACTGAAATGTTTAATAAACATGCTGTATGAGAAACTGAACAAATTAATGTTTTGTTTTTGCATTAAAGCACAGATTATTCAAACATTGTTTTTTGAGACCAGATTTGTACATGTTTATACGTCACAACCTTCCTGAAGTAAAAAGCGATTAAAATCTTGAGATGCTCATGCATGTACACAAAATACTTGCACTTTTTTTTTAACATTAAACTTTGAGAAGTCTCCTTTTAAAAAAAAAATGTGTTTATTCTATAATGTTTCACTGAAATAGTGCTGTGTCTTATAAAAGAAATCAAAATGGACTTATGGATGGGGAATAAGTCAAATTTTTACTGAACACTGCAGTTAAAATTAAAAATTACTTTCTAAATATGAAGCTACTTGTGGTAAACCTAATATTTCACTTTTTGAGGATTAAGAACTAGAGCACATTCATCTATTCATAATTTACTAGCTAGACTCAGTTGAGTTTAGGGATCATAATCTAAATTATAATCTCAAAAAATCCAAGAGAGGCAGAAATATAAATTAACAATGTGATACCCAAAAGTAAGTGTTACTTACAGTAGGTATGCTACTAAGATTTTATATACAACTGATGATGCAACAGTGAAACCTATGGAGAAGACAAGGATAGAAAAAAAGATTAGATATATACTGAATCATATAAGAGGATACAGGGCGCTCAAGTAGAGGAAATCGTTTGAAGAAAAATTACGAAAACATAAAACATATGACTTACTTGGGAAATACTTGTGAATGAAATGGAAAGAATGGTCGGGAGGAGGTGGGAAAAAACAGTTGAGATTAATAAAATTGAAAAGTTATTCAAAGTTTTGTTAATGCACTCTGTGGATTTGTTTGAGCCTCCATATCTGTTAGGATGCTTTCGGTTGCTCATTAACACAATCTCAAGCTAAATTGGCATTTCATCTAGGGGTTCACACAATTACCATTGAGGCTTAATTTGTCTGTAGTTCTATTAACTCTGCTACCTCTATGTATAATAACCTCTCTAGGGGAGCCAGGAATTTTTTTTACAAGTTGCAAACACCACATATTTATGTCATCCATTCTCTCTTACCATCCCCCAGAAAACATCTCTGATTTCAATGGCACAAATTGGGCCATGTGTTCATAACTGAGTGAAGCACTGTGGCCAGGAATTTTAGATGTGTTGGAGTTTAAATCAACCAGGGTCATTTTCCTAGATTTGTAGATGGGATATACTTCCCTAAAGATACAGGTCTATATAGATGAGGGGTAACTGAATGAAATTCAGAGTTCATTTATCAAGAGGAAATGGAAATGAACGCTGAGTAACAGAAAAGGGCAAATCTCCATTATCTGTTAATGAACAAAGTTCTTATCAAAGCTCATTGGCTGTTCTTAAAAACTGGCAGAGAAATGCAAATATTAGTGAATTAAAGCCATTGCCAGAAATGAGGAAGGACTAACAAAGTCATTGAAGATTCAATTTCCCAAATATTAAGTACCTGTTATGCAAAAGGCACCATGTGGATCACTGAGGAAGATATAAGCAACTGCACTTTTAAATAAAAGTGATACATTTGACAATAACTCAATATATCTGGTATGTTCAATGTTTTTAGATGACTGTCACAGAAAGGACTAGAAAATGCATCTTGGCTTTTCTAAATTAGAGGTTTACATCATATCTGCTTTATCATACCCATAAAAACACTGCTCTGGTTAGGCAATTACAAAAGTTTTCTTAAAATGTCACTCAGGCAGTCATTCCAGTTCTAAAACACAGAGCTATTTGGGATATCAAAATCCCTGGGACGGCAATACATGCCATTCTCGAATCATCTTTATAGATTATAGCATGTGTTTGAACAATTTGGATGTTAAATATATTAATCTATCAAAGTAGCCTATTCCATTTGTGGGCAGTATTGGTTTTATAATGTTTTTACTTATATAAAGTAACTTGTTCTGTAGCTTCTAACCATGTTTCAAATTTTACTCCCCAGGGCTATTCAATGTCATTTTAATCCTCTTCCTACAAGAAAGTCTTAGATATATTTGAATATCACTGTCATTTCTTTCTTACTCTTCAAGTATTCTCTACTCATGTGAAATATTT